ACCAGCTGTTTCCGTGGTGAACCAAAACCGAGGGGGGAGGATCCTTTATGGATGCCAGGCCGAGTGACAAGTATTCGACATTGGGCACATAGGTGATAAAAGTTGGGGGGGAGACCTCTGTCAATAATGAGAAGAAAGTATAATCTTGACACCCACATCGGACAGATGAAAGTAGGGATGAGTGTTTTGTCCTAATTAAGCAGTAAATCTTGAGGAGGAAGGAAAGGTCTCAGTAGAGTGGTATATCCTATTGGTTTTGTGTCCTATGAGAGCGGTCTCCTACGCTTAGTATAGTATACCGTACATTCTGTAGGTATAGATCCAGTGAAGAGAGTTGTGCAGTAGGTGGAGAGATGAATAGAGGACGGAGATGAAGGGCAATGAGTCGATCAGAAGAGAGATGAGAGAGATCAGGTACCACAGAGTCAGCTGTGCGGGTTGTGAGGTCGCATGATGCGGTGCTAGTCGTACAGGCCAGAGTTCATACTGTTGGAACAGGGCGTCTGGGGTTCGACAGGGGAGAAGTGTACAATAACACTCGCATGCGATTGCGATTTGGGATTGCTAATCTGCAATTAATTATTTCTCTGCCATTCTTATATACTTCCAAGAGCTTTCTTCCTAAGAAAAAACCCTTTAATTTTCCCTGAAAAGCTTATGAGGAATGAAGCGGGCAGACTTACCAGGAGGGGTGTGGTTCCACCGCAGCCATCGTCTGGCAGGTGGGGTGTGCCAGACGTCTAGACGTACCGTCTGGCCACACCCCCACTGCCACGCCCCTCAGAGTCACCCCTCTAGAGATGAGAGCGGGCAGGAACATCCGATGCGCTACGATAGCGAGTGAACTATGGAACAAAGTTCTGATCACGTGACAGTCACATGACATGTTATAATACCATTCCACTGTACTTGGCAATCAGGAGCATGCCCACACCGCCCATCACCCACGGCAACATCCTGAACCACTGGAGGTGATTGTTTATTGCTAGCATGGCAACATCTGCCCAGTTGTTTCTCCCTTTCCCACCTGAGTAATAACCGCATGCGTCAAGCAATTTACATAAGCGCGTGCGTTTATGAAACAAACCTTCTTTGCATGTGTCGTGGTTATCACCAGAAGGAGACGCACTCTCTGTTTGCTTTGGACCTATACTTGGCCGCATTTCGACAATAAACTGAAAGCCAAAACAGCAGCGAAGAGCAGGTCAGCAGCGTGCATTTATTGCGCATGCGTGGAGTTGAAGCCACGCCCCCATAATAATAGTAGGGGCGTGGTCCGTTGCGAGGGGTGTACGTGTGTGCCGTCACATGCAAAGAGTCCACAGCATAAGAGTTTGTGGACACAAACGTGAAAACAGAGGGCCTATAGACCTAGTGCCTTCAGCTGTAGCGAGTCGAGAGCCGTACGGAGCAGGTAGAGCGGGCGGGAGATGTCGCGAGGGGGCGGTACTGGCACCAAGAAGGACGTTCTACTGGAGCTGGTCTCTAGGGACATAAAAGAGGTAGCGAGTGTTTACTGTTTGTGAGTATAGCTAATGGAGATTAAAGAGTTTGGACTTCAGCCTGGCAGTGTTGTTTGCGTGTCCTTGCTTCATTCTAGCCGTCGAGAGTACATAGGCCAGATTGTCTTCCTCTCGGAAGAAGTGGGGACACCCTTTTTATTTTCTTGCATGCGATTCTAACCTCTGAAATAAGGACACCTCAATGACGCCGACATTCTCTTCCGTCCCATTGGTGTCTGAATGTTAGGGGAGTTCCACTGTATTAATGTCAATGTCCATGTCACATCTCACCAAACTACAGGCATATGTAAATTGCACTGTAGAGCTTGTTGATAAAGAGTGAGCAAATCATCTTTTTCTCATTCTAGGTGTAGTGTACTTTGCATAAGACTATAATTCTTATCAGATATACCCTGTGATATACGATTGCAGAACAGTGTTTTTTCACCTCACTGTCACGTGTTAATACAGCTGCAAAGAGTACACAGTGAAAGCAAAAGTAGTGATGTCAAGGCGTTTACGGAGGCAGAAGAACCAGCCCAGCTCCTGTGTGACCATCTCGATCACATTCTCATGCACGGTCTGAGAGAGTTCGAGGACGGGTACTGGCCGTTTGTGAGACACTTCACCAGGAACGAGCTGGTCCAGAGAATACGGCAGTTGAAGAGAGTTACAACCAGTGTCGGGAGAGGTGAGGGGAGCGGGAGTAACACGACAAGATGGAGAAAATGGGACGGGGGTAGGGGGCAGAAGGACGAGGAGAAAAAGAGTGAAGTCACAGCACGGCTTAATCAGGAGAATAATGTGCACATGAAAGTGTATCAGAAGCTAGTTACTGGGGGATTGTATCAGCCTATACAATCCTACATGTGCAAGCAGGGTTCATACATGTCATTTGCCTAAGGATATCCAACAAATCTGTTGCAGTACCCAGACAGGACAGCATTCGCCCTTACAGGGCTCATGCTGTCATGTCAACATATACATACATACATACATGCCAAAATACAGCTGCAATAGCTTCTGAGTAATAATGCATGTGTGGATGCATTAGTGCACTATAGCCGTCTTACTCGTTGCCATTTGTTCAAGCAATGTATATATACATTACTATAGCATAGCATGCATGTCCATCTCTATTGTACTGTGTTATAGTGTTGTAACCTGTTTATGTGCAGGCAGATCCTGGCTGTACACTGCACTCAACGAACAGAGTGTCGAGAGCTACATTAGGATGTTTGCTGAAAATCAAGACATCGTTGAAGGATTTTACCTCAGGTATCAGTTATATTATGCTCCTGTATTATGCAGTGGAACCCCTCTAATCTGGATACCAATGGGACAGAAGAAAGTGTCCGTATTAGTGAGGTGTCCTTATTTCATGGTTCAAAGAACTGTTGTTGGGGAAAGAAAGGTGTCCTCCTTAGAGAGGTGTCCTCATTTCAGGGGTGTCCTTAGAGAGGTGTCCTCATTTCAGGGGTGTCCTTAGAGAGGGGTTCCACTGTAATGGATGTTTTTCTCTGTGAATTAATGTTCTGGCATCGACTACAGAAGTTTGCATTTGTCAAAGATATTACGTCATTGATTTTATGAACATCTCTTTCCATTCACAGGGATGCCTTTATTAGGGATATGGAGGTGTGTAAGTGGAAGCTAACGATGTAATTTCTTTCATCCCTCCGTCATAATTCACTTGTCTCCTTGTTTTATACAGCATATTCTTCTTCTCCTGACGCTGGTTTCAGGCCTTGATTTCATCTCTTTTGACCTACAAGTGGTGAGTCACACTTAATTTTGTGGATCATGTGTACAAGAAATTCTCTGGCAAAAAAATTCCCTTTTCCTACACATTTATATGAGTGGTTTTCTTTCAAAATATTGACCCACTGTCCTGTAAATGCGAAGGGTGGATACTAACATGTGGTACAGTGTATCTGTACATGTACGGAATGCTTGTATGTATGTACATTTAGGCCCACCCTCTACTGCTGTCTTTGTGCCCTCTCAATGAGACTCCCTCCCCTTTCCCTTGTCTGTTGTGTTTGTATGTACATACCTTGTCTGAATAGCATGCATTCACGATGTGTGTATATAATATTCTGTTGTGGTAAAGGACTGTGACTATTTGGACTATGGAGCCAGCATACTCTCATCAAAGATCACCTCACGTACATCTTCTTCAACTGGTACGTATACATCGGAAAATCCGTAAATTTTTCAAATGTCTCCAAAAAAAACCCCCTAAGTTTGTTGATTTTGTGAAGGCATAACAGAAGCACACAGAGAGAGTGACCATCCTAATCTCATTTCGCAGTAGCAATTTAGGAAATATCAGCGAATTTTGCCACCCGAACGTTTTACGCCCTAATGATAGATTTTACTCAAATCACGTCTCCTCTTTCTCTGTTTGTCCGTAGAGGTGACCCCAACATTCTTGAGTGCAAAGGTCAACAGTAAGAGTGGGCGACCACGAACACACAGTGACCCCACCCCCAAGCCCCCCGGGGCAATTCCCAGTCTAACGAGAGGGGCACGCAAACAGACGAGGAACAACAAAGAAGCACCAGCTGCTGGTACAGCCAGTTCGGAAAAATCTCCTGAGGCATCGGGAGAAACTGGAACTAATATCGAAAATGAAAATGGAGATAATTTGATACGTAACGAAGGGGCTGGTGATAGTATCCCCATACCATCCACTGAAGAGCCTCGCTCATCAATGATGTCGTCCTCACTACAAATGACATCATCGAGAAATCTTCTAGAGAGGATGAGTTCGCTAGAGACGAAGTCACCTTTTCTAGAACGAGCTGCAGCATCTCGGGAGGGGCTGCGGTGGAGGGGGGCGGGGCAGTCTGGTAGAGGGGAAAGGGTTAAAGATGAAAATGGCGAGGAAGATGATATGGTGGTTGCTAAGGGGCGGAGAAGTGGGCGGAGCAAGAAACGAAGGAGGAAGAGAAACGAGGAGAATGAAGTCTCGGACGAAAGCTCTCCCAGAGGTCATGTGACCAGAGAAGAAAATCATGTGACAAGAGAAGGAAATCATGTGATCCCTGGAGCTGTACTGTTTAGTCCGACCAACACAACAACAACAACAGTCGATGCCGATGATTCCGTTCTGGTAGGGGCTCCCCATTCAATGAGAACGGAAGAATGCGATTATGAAACTGAGCCAGTGATACTGCAGAGTCTGGCGGAGGAGAAGGGACTGGGGTTGAGTCTGGAGATGGAGTTGGCACTAGCCGCAAGGGATGAACCGGGGATCCAAACTAGTATGTCGTCTGGGGACGCTGGGGGTGGGGACCAATTAGAACTACATCTACCTCCGTCTCGTGACGCGGCACCTTCTGAAACGCCTCGCGTGCATTTGGAGAATTTGGAAGAAAGTTTACCTCGCACGTCTGGTAATAATCGAAACCCTTTTGATGTGGAAGAAGATGTAGACCTCTCGCCTTCCCTCCCTCCCTCCACCCCTCCCTCCTTCCCTGATAAAAACAGTGACAACCTCTCCAATCGACAACACAGGTCCCATACAATACATCACCCTCCGAGTTCCGCTAGCACTCGCTCCGAACTGAAATCAGACGAGAAGAGAAACCCGCGACGAGTGCCCCTCAATTCAAAGCCAATCTCTTCGTCTTCTCGTTCGCCGCCATCAGCTCAGCATCGGTCAAAGTCGCGGCGAGAAAAAGGAGTTACGTCAGAGGTGGAGGGAGAATTCGATATCATCACGCAGAGCGAAGTGAGGGCCCTGGACGGCCGGAGGAGAACCAACGCACTGTATTCAGAGGACAGAGAGGGAGAGAGGGAGGTGGGGGAGGGAGATGAAGAGGATTTGGTGACAGTGGGTAAGATGGTGTACCACGAACCCCCACAAAGACCAAAGACAGTTACGGAGGAGAGAGAAAAGAGCCTGTGATGTCAGGTGAGCTTCAGTGTGACTCTAAATGTTAGGGTTAGCTCACACCACAAAAACGCTTAAGGTTTTGTGGCATTTTCTGGCTATCTTCTCCTTCCCTCTTTTGTCGCAGGATTGACGAGACAATGAGGGTTGTGTTCTCCATCGATGTCTTTTTCCCTGACACAGAGAAGACCACGCCCCCTCCTCCTCCTCCTACTAATGAGACCCCCGACCGACCACAGCTGCTGCTCACCAGAGAGAAGAGAGAGTCTCAGGGCCTCGAGGAAGAGGCCAAGAGGGTGGGTGGGGAAGGAAGGGAGGGAGGGTGTCAGCTCGTGGTCAACTTTTTGTGAATTTACCTTACAATCACTTCAGCCAGCACTAATTTGGGTGAAACCCTAGTCAACCTTGTTGTGACGTTTCCCCTTGGAATCACTTCTGTGCATATAAGAACAACCTTGTGGGGATGTACAGTATGTCTCAACAACTTGGTAGCGAGGTAGAAAGGCAAGGCAAGGCAAACAAGTCAACTACACCCAGGTCCTGGGTGTGATTCTAACCTGTACACATTTTGGCTTGCGGTCAATATCTGCCAGCTAATCACCTCCCTCACTATGTGGTGAATCATTTGTCAACACTGTGTTTGTAGAGCAAATGTAACCTTGAACTGTAAGTGAAGATGTGTCTCTCACCCAATCAGTTGGTACAGGTGAACACGCCGTGTGGGCTGGGCCAGTACAGACCTGGGTATGCTCTAGTCACTACTGAGGCCGTCTATCTGCTTAGGAGAGGTACGTATGTAGGTGTAATTATACCTACATTCAGGCTTTTTATAAGTTTCTTGATAAGGCAAACCTGTGTTTTAGTATGCCTGAAAGTCAAAGATTCACATTTGCTCATACAATAATAAGTTGTTTTAGTATACAGTGAAACCTCTGAATAAGGGACATCTTGGGGACATTGAAAGTGTCCTTTATTCAGAGGTGTCCTTTTCCACCCTCCCTCCCTTCTCTCCCCCTGCTTTGTTCAATCCCATAGCCTTACTTCTTATGTTTTGTTCCCTTCCCTTATTCAGAGGAACTGTATACACTTATGTATCAGTATGGCTCACAATAAGTGTCCTTGATAGAGAGATTTCCTTTTCGGAAGTTTTGCTGTTTTTTCAATTTTCCTCTCCCTCTCCCCCTGGCCTCCACAGATGGAATTGAAGGGATCTTATCGCGAGAGTTCGGAGCACGATACAAGGACATGGATCATCTCGTGGTCAGTCTCCCTATCACGTAACTATCATTCCCAGGTCATGTGACTGTCATGTGATCAGATTGGGCTGGGATGGCAGAGTATGGAGCTGGTGTACCGAGAGAGGAAGACCGAGGAACTGCGGAATTGTGTTCTTGTCACGGGCAGCGAGGCTGTGTCCAGGTATGAAGTAACTTTTGAAACATCGGGGTTGTTGAATTATGAGGTGTAAGATACACACGCGTGTGTCAACAAAGTGAGGTAGTAAGGCAAAGGCAAACAAGTCAGGACAGCTCTTTTTTCCAAGGAAAAAGAAAACCTGCCCCGGGTGGGGATTCGAACCCACGACACTCTGCTTTCACGGCGAGCATTAGCAGCGATTATGAGTGTTGCTGGAAAGTAGGTGTTCGCTGTTGACTCGTTTTGAAAGATCTGAGTTTGTGAGTGTGTGTGACTTCCTTTGTCAGGAGTCTGATGGAGTCGATGGAGACAGCTGCCAGCCAGTGTCCAGGGTTCATGAGGGTCATTCCGAGGAACAGAGATGACGAGACTCACTGGGACGCCATCGAGAGAGAGCTCATCAAACTGGGCAGTGAGGTGTGTGGGGAAAGGGTTAACCTTTTAGCAGTGTGTGGGTAAAAGGTTAAACCTGAGATGTGTAAGTAAATGGCAGTGTGTGGTAAAACTTTGAATTGTGTGGGGATAGGGTTAACCTTTAGCAGTGTGTGGGTAAAAGGTTAAACCTCATACGTGTAAGTAAATGGCAGTGTGTGGTAAAACTTTGAGTTGTGTGGGGAAAGGGTTAACCTTTAGCAGTGTGTGAGTAAAAGGTTAAACCTGAGACGTGTAAGTAAAGGGCGGTGTGTGGTAAAACTTTGAGTTGTGTGGGGAAAGGGTTAAACTAAACAATGTGTGGAAAGAGTTAAAATTAGCGGTGTGTTATCCTTCCAGACCAGTATGGATAGGGTTCAGTATTCTCTGGTGAACTGGGAGCAGGTGAAGGGCAGCGTTCCAGACTCCGCCTACTCTCAATCCCTCGCTGGTATATACAACAATAATAATATTTATACCAGTGGTGAAAAGGTTTTGAGGTCTGTGTGAACCATCTGAAAAAGATTTTATGTGCGAAATGTTGGAGGTGGTGAGGTCTTTCTCTTTCTGAATCTGTCGACTTCACTTGAAAATGTGTGTGTGTGTGTATGTGTGTGTGTGCGTGTGTAGAAATGGCCAGTGGACTGCTGTACTTCAAGAAGAACAGTCGGGTGGGCCTGTCGTCATGGAAACAGGGTTTCTTCAGACTCATTGACGGGACCCTGCACCAGTTTGGCAGTGAGGTGAGAGAAACACACACTCACGGAGCAGATCAATGAGGTGTAGCATGTCCACCACCTCCACCAGTTGCGTATGTACTGTGAAACCTATGAACAAGGAACACCTTGAGGGTACTATATTATACCAATTCAGAGATGACACTGAATGAATTTGAATTTGAATTTGATAAAAGTCAATTGGTTACACTGAATGAATTTGATAAAAGTCAGTGTGACTGAAAGGTGAATGCATTGCACATAGGGAAAAAGAACATGTGTGGTGGAGCAGAACTAGTAGCTAGTATCTGTTATGGGAGGGTGCTTTGCAGCAGTTTACTATACACACTGTAAGTACAGGTTTTGGTTCTCTCAGACGGACAAGTTGTCCAAGGCCACATTCTCCCTGGCCGGATGTGGAGGGGTCACGAGGGTCGTTTCCACGGGAGATAGTCGGCAGTTTGTCCTCTCTCTGTCGCTGGCCGGCTCCCAGCCGTTGCTACTGGCAACGGGGACGGAGGAGGAATTGACTCAGTGGCAGATGGCGCTATGCGAGGCTGTCCTCCAGGTGAGACGATTTTCACAACAGTTCAGCAAAAAAGACACAGCTACATACGTACATGTGTGTATGTGTATGATTATATATACCCAGTAACTGAAAAATGATGCTTCTTGTCTGAACCATGGTTTGACGGGCTTGAATGCTAGGGTAAAGAGCACTGAATCGCCGCTGAGCAAAGAATGTGTATTTACAGCATGGAAGAAACAATTTGTTACATTTTGTTGCATGTGCTTTGCTTGCTGTAGGTGCAATCTTCGGACCAATGCAAAAATCCTATGTGTACCGTTCTACTGACCAAGGAGAAGGTGAGTGTACATGATGTATATAGCAATGAGAAGGAGAGAGAAGAGGAGAGGAGAGAAAGGGAGAAAGGAGAGAGAGAGGGTGAAAAGAGAGAGAGAGAGATGAGGGCGAAAAGAGAGAGGAGAAATTGCCACTGTGCAGGTCCACATCTTGCAAGAGGACATGTCCAGAGGGTTGGTCCACCACATCACGTGTTGTGAGGTGACGGCAATTGAGAAGATATCTGTGGATCATCGCCTGCCACTCTACTGCACTGTGGTATATATGATCGTATTATACCTGTACAGTATATATATAGTCATAAGTCCATCAGACCACCACCATTACTTGAATGGGAACAGTGTAAATGAAAAGCACTAAAGTGCAAACCCTCGGCGAAGTAGCTCGCAGAGAGTCTGACACGGGCCAGCTACAGTAGTAGATAGCACGCGAGAGTCGATACACGCCATTCGTTGTGACTTCTTGTGCCTTCAAGATAGACAGAGCAAGCGGACCCGGTCGAGCTGAGGTGCCTAGCCTGTGCTAAATATAAGCGCATGCGCATTATCCGCCAGCGATAAAATGGCGACTCGACTACCAGCATTAGCCATACAATGCTGGAAGGCGCTCTAGCTCTAACTCTGCAACGGATCATTTTCAGAGAAAACCCCACATATATTCTGACCCTCGTCGCCCGTTGGGTAGATGGTATCATTTCTGGGACGAACAGACACCCGAGAAGTGAGATTGAGAGTAACAGACACAGCTCTAGACAGACAAACCCTACAGTACCCTCGCATGCGCGCCGAGGGTAATAAACCCGAGTTCTCTCTCACACACTCTCTCTCTCTCTCCCTACTCAGACGTATGATGATGGCGAACTCTGTAAAGGGGTGTGGCTTCTCTGTTTCAGCTCCGAGTTTGAACTGGGGAAGTTTGAGACGGCTCTTGCAGAATTGTGGAAAGATGAGTTTCAGGTACACTTATAAGTACTAGCTCAGTAAGGACAATAGCTATAATTAACATGAATGATCACTTCACCCACTCTTTAGGGACAATTAGCCAGGTATATCCCAAGTATGGGTATATAGGGTATACTTAAAAGTGGGATTTTGCAAGATTGTCTCCTTCCAAACACATATAAAATGGTGTTTCATGTCAAGGGAATTGGCCCTTCGTGGTTTACGCTCTGGTTCTCAGCCCTTCATAATACGATCCCTCAGCTTCTAAATTAATGTCTGCTGCATGTCATCATCCGTATATTTATGTGCAGCTTTCTCTCTCCATGCACTAATCCTCCTCCTTCAGATCGACCTTCCATTCTCAGAGCTAGAAGATGTGTCCGTCATCCAGAGAGCTCGTCAACACAGTGACCTCATGACCTCTACCAGTCTCCGTAGCGACAGCATCACCAGGGGAGACAGAGTTCACGTTACAGCTCCACTTTTTAATCACATTACATCACTACTTCATCACCATGTCGTTATAGAATACTCACAAATTGATCAATCACATGATTTTGAAGTGCACTAACACATAATATGTATACACAAATAAATTACAGCAAAGCCACACCCACCAACAATGAACAATAAGTCATCACATGACTTCGATTGATGATACCTCAACTAAATCTCCCTAGCAACCGACGAACCGACCAATCAGGGTTCAGTATCGCTCTCCTGATGGCACTCTCGAGCCACAGGAAAAGTCAGTGAGCGAGAGAACTGCGTTGCCCTTGCCGATAGGCCTCCGCCTGTTTTCTCGCCACTCCAGGAATGTAGCCTCGTCGATTATCTCTAGATCTTCGTAGAGAATGTGGAATATTCTTCCCAACAGCTCTGAGAGGGGGAGGAGGAGAGGGGCGCGAAATCAGACGAAGAGAGAGAAAGAAAATGAATGTTATGATTACACTTTCCAGCTATTATCAAGGCTGATGACTGTTAGGGCTGTTCTTCCCCCTTCCCCATTTTTTGAAAGAGGCCACTTAATTTCCATAACTCCTAAGGTATTTGCACTGCCCTCTCCAGCTATGGTTGGTTTGGCCTGTCCTTCCCATCCACACACAGAAACAGGCCCACCCATTTTATATACCTGGTGGGTGTTCAATTGAGGCCACCACTCTGTATTGCATATAGATGTGAATGTGTAGTTCTCTGTGCTGTCTGCAAATTTCTTGAGGATGCGGACCGCTCTTCGGTCTGCAAGTCCTCCGCCGTTCAACTTGACTCTCTCACCACAACCGTTCAGAGTACATTACAGACAGTCTTACTAAAGAATCCTGAGCATTTACTGAAAACAGTTCAGACAGTTTACAAGAGAATCTCTCAAACCGAGTATAGAGAATCCATGGAAGTTTACTGAAACTGTATACTATGGTCATCAGAGTTTACAAGTAGTTTACTGAGTGACGTCCTCCGTGATGATTACAGAGCTCACCCGTGACGAATGCACTGCAGCCGAGCAGTCTCAACATCTTATGACATCCTGTCGTTCTGGCCTCAGACGCACAGTGCTACCTAGCATAGAGATCACAGGATCTGATCACATGACACACTTCCTAGATCGATGACATAGGTATAGGCACACACTATCACAATTTAGTGCGCTGACGCACGGCCATACACTTGAGTAACGATCCAGCTCACTATGACTAGTCACATTGGACTGGTACACTGACTCACCTCTACACCAGACAAAGATCTCACATCATTTGTGGTGTCACATGGCTCTAATCGATGATATCAGGTCGTGAGGGACTGACGAAGAGACTGGCTACTCGTGACTGACGCTCTCCTTCTCCAGCAGGAATCCCAGTTGCTACAACCAGAAAAACAGGGTGGTCAAGACAGGTTGTGTTGTCAAGTCAAACATCCCACTTCTTTGTTTACATTGAATACATACATTAAAAGTGATCTAGAATGTGATTTAAAACACCTAAAATTTCCAGTCACAAAATAAAGCTGATTACCTCCATCGCCAACAAGCTCTCGGAGGTCGTCGTATTTGACCCCTAGCTCCTCACACCTCATTCCTTGCCATAGCGCCACGAACGCTGACTCACAACACACAACAACTGCTGTCAGCGCTCATCCACACAAGGCAAACAGGAGGGAATTACTAAACGAGCAGAACTGCCACATACGAGATTATAGAGATACTGAGAAGTATACAGTACGACTGAAGAGACATTAAGGTAGAGATACTGAGAAGTATACAATACAACTTGCAGGTGAAAGAGTTACTAGAGATTATGAGAAGGAACAGGATACTAAGAATATCTAATTTTACGTTAGAAGTACTCGAGATCGCAACCCAACCTTGGTAGCCCGGGACGCCCCCCCGACTTTCCCTTCTTAACGACCCCTCCTCCGAGAGGGAAGGAAGGCAGGGATGCCTTCTTCCCTACTTTCCTGGTTTCCGTGGTCCTGGAGCCCCGGGAACCTATGCGGAGGTTGCTCCGGGTAACGAGGGGGAGAGAGGACCGACGCAGGCGATGGGGCAGAAAAAGGGGTGGGTAGCCGCTCGAGCATGTGTTGTCCAAGATCTCGGGGAGATTGGTCATCAATGTCCTCCGAATACTCCAGAATCTCCATCAGGACTGTAGGCATCATAGGGGACTTTAGCTAGAGAAATACGAGCGAGTTAAAGTATTCTAGGATGATTGACTACCAAATACGGAGTATACTAGGATAAATTTGCTACAGAATACTGAGAGTATACAGGCATATGAGGCTTTACTACAGATACGCGGAGTATACTAGGAGAAATTTAAAAAGAATACTGAGAGTTTTACAGGACATTACTGGATGATGATTTACTGGAGAATGTTGAGACAATAGACAATACACAATTGGCATGAAAAAATGGTGAATATTTGCGTGGAGATTTAAAAAGTTGCAAACGTGTTCTCCTTTACCATCTCTGAATTGTCCAGGTGAGTTATAAGTCCTCGAGCGAGATCCCGCAGCGGCTGACTCGCCACGCAACGAGTGGCTCATTCTTCTCCATCATCACGTTGATCAACCTCCGCACAAAGAACGGTGCAGATTGTTCTGGAACCTTATTATCCTTGACACATTCTAGGCTTCCGGGGAAAGGGGGGCGAGGGGGGGGAAGATGGTCGTGATTGCTACAGGTGTAATTGGCTGGAAAAAAGTTTAAGTGCAGTACACAGGCTAAATTTAGAAATGTTACTAAAAGATACAATAAACAATAGAGCCCAGTTTACGAATAATAATAGTAACAGTTTCTAAAAATTAGCCATTAAATACACCGCCCATTCCCCTTAATACTGAAAAATGTAAACTACTATTTCCGAAGTCTTCCAGGTATGTATGTACTATATGTATATATAAGAAACCTTGAATCCTGTTCTCTTGCCCATTCACAGACAATTGTGTTGAGTCTGCGACATATGACCCTCGTCCAACGGAGGAAGGATTGGGACGTGGAGGCGGGTGGAGGGAGGTGTTGCCTTGGGATACCGGGAGGTGTGGGTGTGCTTTGCCTCGCGTTAGACGCTGGCTCTTGACCGCCTGCGGGAGTTGATACACAATACAGACACAGTGCAACACAACTCTATGGACACCCAAATGTGTGTAATAAAGCCACTTTTTCTTCCCTGTTCTTGTCAACAGTGTTGTGAAATAAGGACACCTCACTAACATTGAACTTATCTGTCCCCTTTTTAGTAACTACATTGTTTCCCACTGCCTCAAAAAGGAATTCCTCTTATCTTAACTCCGAATGGACAAGCCTCTCTCTCATGTGCAACTCATCCCTATACTAGTCGAGCCCCTCTTCTTTGCCGCTGGACCCCTGCCCCCTCCATACACATTCCATTCCTCTCCCCCCTTCTCCCCTCTCTCCCCCTTCATGAACACCTCCTGAAATGGACCGGCAGTATGTGATATGACAAACACGATCCCATAACTGTTTCTTTACACCCAAAACCTTCTCTCGTGAGGAGAGGGAATATAGAACGGTGGGAAAAAAAAAAAAACAAAAAAAAAAAAATTACGAAAATGGCACACAATCGATCACGCATACAACAAACTGTCATGCGGTTCCAGGAGTTCTTGCAAAAAATTGTCAAACCAAAATTTTATTTTAAAGTCGCGAACGCAAGTAACTCCTACGCACAAGAACAACACACACACCTCAGAGGTTGTTTTGCAGACTTCTCTCCCTTGGCACGCCCTCCAGACCCGCCGCCCACAAATGCGTGACCGAGACTAGACCCAATAACGCTGCCAGAGCCAGAGTCATGGGCAGACGGAGCACCCTCATAGGCCCGGCTCCGACGGACCGCAGCATCCCGCCACTGGGGTCCCAGTGGAGCCTGCGAGGAGAGAGGTGACTCCATTTCGGACCGCCCCCGCCCGAAAGAGGAGAGAGAGAGAGAGCATGGAGGAATAAGTATCTTTTGATCTGTATACCTTCTCCCTCGACCTCCCACCCGAGACTGTGTTAGATCTCTGGGACAACTTGGTCTGTATTCTCAGTCACCTTCTCCACTCATAGTTTATCGTCCCCGACTCGTAGACAGTCATCACCCAGCTCCTGTTTGACAACCACACGATAAAAAAAGAATCCCCAGATAACTTCCAATTTTTGCTCATACATATCAAACCTACAATTATCATTCGGTATGTACACACACACCCACAGCACCTAAACAACCTCGTACACGTGGTTACATAACTACACGATTCTTGTATCCGGTTCACATGCCAAACAAAACGCTAAACAAGAGAACACGAGTTTCACGTAGCGCGAGACGGAGCCAGCTAGCATGCCCTCAGTCTAGCATCCCCGCGAGATTGTCGTACTCCCCGCATCGGAGGTGTAGAATGATGGTGATATTATGCTCTGGTTACTGGCCACCTCCTGCTGAGATCCGTATTAGCTCATCGGCCTTTGACTCGAGTGATCTGAGGGCGAACGGAGAAGGAGGCAAGGGCATAGAATGTAAAGAATAAGGATATTAATCCCAGGGGCACCATCCTTTTTGTGCTGTGGGGAAACGTGTCATGACTTGCGCTCTCTGTGCGCCTTGTGGCCTTATTGGATTTGATACAAAAAAAAAACACGTGCACAATATAACTAAATAATTTTCAAGAAACCGTTGACAGATGAATAATGTTCAGTAGTACATACCAGTACTGATCAATGGTCTTGAGGACGGGTGGCAATGGTATCTGCGAAGGAAGGAGGCACCACTTGTTTTTGCGGCAAACTCTGACTTACGTATTGAAGAATGAAACCGAATACTGGACGAGATATTCCTTTGCACTGATTTGGTGGATCA